CACTTACACAAGCCATTCTCCCACTTTTTAAACAACACACTTACACAAGCCATTCTCCCACTAATAAAACAACAGACTTACATAAGCCATTCTCCCACTAATTAAACAACACACATAAGCCATTCTCCTACTAATTAAACAACACACTTACACAAGCCATTCTCCCACTAATAAAACAACACACTTACATAAGCCATTCTCCCACTAATTAAACAACACACGTAAGCCATTCTCCTACTAATTAAACAACACACTTACATTGGCCATTCTCCCACCAATTAAACAAAACAATTACGCAAGCCATTCTGCCACTAATAAAACAAGACAATTACACAAGCCATTCTCCCAATAATTAAACAACACACTTACACAAGCCATTCTCCCACTAATTAAACAACACACTTGCACAAGCCATTCTCCCACTAATTAAACAACACACTTCACAAGCCATTCTATCTTCTTATTAAACAACACACTTACACAAGCCATTCCCCCACTAATTAAACAACACACTTACACAAGCCATTCTCCCACTAATTAAACAACACACTTACACAAGCCATTCTCCCACTAATTTAACAAAACACGTACACAAGCCATTATCCCAATAATTAAACAAGACAATTACACAAGCCATTCTCCCAATAATTAAACAACACACTTACACAAGCCATTCTCCCACTAATTAAACAACACACTTACACAAGCAATTCTACCACTAATTAAACAACACGCTTACACAAGCCATTCTCCCACTAATTAAACAACACACATAAGCCATTATTCTCCTACTAATTAAACAACACACTTACACAAGCCATTCTCCCACTATTTAAACAACACACTTACACATGCCATTATCCCACTAATTAAACAAGACAAATACACAAGCGATTCTCCCACTAATTAAACAACACACTTCACAAGCCATTCTATCTTCTTATTAAACAACACACTTACACAAGCCATTCTCCCACTAATTAAACAACATACTTCACAAGCCATTCTATCTTCTTATTAAACAACACACTAACACCAGCCATTCTCCCACAATGAAACTACACACTTACACAAGCCATTCTCTCACTAATTAAACAACACACTTGCACAAGCCATTTATCCCATAAATTAAACAACACACTTACACAAGCCACAAATGGGAATATGGGAAATTTATTTATGTATTATTGATATTTCACTTTTACAAATAATTCTTCATTTTATCCTCTCCCTGTAATCAAAACGGAGATGGGATTCCAAAGCTAAATTGCTAGAATTGAATTTTGTGAACTTGTTCCAAAATACACCTGGAAATGCACATCAGTATGGTGCACATGTATGATAAGTAAATGCACTCAAATTTGGGGGAGGGGGAAGGATGAATTTAAGATCGATGATCGCCAGAATTGCAATAAGTCTTTCTCTAAAGAAATATCTTAAAGCTTTTTGTGAATATTTAAAGCTATTTGTGAATATTTAAAGCTATTTGTGAATATTTAAAGCTATTTGTGAATATTTAAAGCTATTTGTGAATATTTAAAGCTATTTGTGAATATTTAAAGCTATTTGTGAATACACATATCTTTTTGTGAATATATAAAGACACAGGGCAAGTATCGTGATTGACGCCATTAACTTTGTCAGACACACGATACGGTTTGGAGGGGTCACATGCAGTTTTGTGGTCTCATGCAGTTTTGGGGTCACATTTAGTTTGGGGTCACTTGTAGCTTAGGGTCACTTGTATTTTGGGGTCACATGTAGGTGGATGTCAAGTGCAGTTCGGGATCACATGAAGTTTGGAGTCAAATACAGTTTGGGGTCACATACAGTTTGGGGTCACATACAGTTGGGGTCACTTGTAGCTTAGGGTCACTTGTATTTTGGGGTCACATGCAGTGTGGGATCACTTGTATTTTGGGGGTCTTGTTTAATTTGGGGTAAAATCAATTTTTGGGTAACATGTATTTTGGGGTCACATGTAGTTACGGGTTAGTTACGCAGTTGGGTGTCACTTGTAGTTTAGTGTCACAAGTATTTCGGGGTCACGTGTATTTCAGGGTCACGTGTATTTTGGGGTCACGTGTATTTGGAGGTTAGCTGTTTTGAGATATTTGAGTTAACCAGTTATAAACTTTTGCCCTGACCCCCGACTTGACGTTGAACATTCCAACCTACCCTGACACAAATGTCCTTATGGTCGTAACAACCTGTAACCTTGTCACACAGGTGAATACGAGAAGCGTCTGCTGTTCGATCTGTTCGAGAAGAATGGTTACAACCCGCTGATTCGGCCAGTGGTCAATGAGAGTGACACTCTGATGATCAGATTCAACCTGGCACTCAGCCAGATCATCAACATGGTCAGTGTTCTGTTAGCATGTATTGTGTAGACAATCCCGATATCCTCTTGACTAGACAATCATGAAATCCTATGGACGGGACGGTCATGATATCCTCTTGACGATAAAAGTATGATATCATTTTTTTAAATGCCTTAAATGTCAAGGATTATGATTAGTTTAATTTGGTGAAGATTTCCATTTCCTTTGAGCATGAGATTAGATCTTCTTTATATTGATGTCATTTTGTTTCTTGGAGTGACATTTCCATTTATTCGGTATCGTCATGTCATTTAAGTTTTAACCACATAAAAAAAATAATAATATTTGAAACAGATTTCTTGAAATGTTAACTTATTTAATAGAATTCAAAGTAACTGCTGTATATCTAAATGACAAAGTATCATCTATTGGCTGATACTAACGGGAAATTTGGAAATGTTCTCTGCATTTCTTGAATTCCAATTCTGCAATTGTTAGAAATATTCTAACATCCATAAAGGAAAAGGGCGGATGAGGCAGATTATTTTAAGAGCAAAGACTTGCCAGAATAGCAATTACAACTGCTTCGGAGAAATCCGTTAAAGCTATAAAATGTATTTATAGAATCGTGGAATAAGTGTTAAATCCCAAACAAAAATGTTCAGGGTTCAGCAGAGGATGTGCTCACGACCACCGTCTGATTAGATAACGCTCTCTCAACCCATATAAAAAGCTCAAAAATAAAGCAATTGTACAAGACAATGTATTCAAGTATAACAGATAACACACATTAATCAAACCAGTCTGAAAGACAAAGAAAATGTTTCAATAATATTAAATAATTAAAGTGATCCAAATGTAGGAATTATAAAGGACTATTTCATATGAATTTGGTTTTTAGGTTAAACCCCTTTTCATTATTCAAATCTATAAAAAAATATTTCAAAAGTTATTTATTGATATTAATGACTTGTAATATGTCATATTTCTTATGTCAATAAAAGTTTTAAAATTGTATTTTTTTAAAATAATAGTATTTATGTAACGTAATGTGCACAGTGGAAAATAACTGATCTGATACCTAAAAATCAACTATCTTAACATGGTAAATCATTCCAGGATGAGGTCAACCAGGTGATGAAGACAAATGTCTGGCTTCAACTGGTGAGTAATGCTTTAAAAGTCTGCTACAATCATGGCTGGTGTACGTGGTCCCGTTTTGTACACGGTCAGGAGGTGTAAATGGTCAGGTGGTGTTACTGGTCAGGGGTGTACATGCTTAGGTGGTGTCCATAGGTGTTTACCGTGGTCAGGTGGTGTACACCCATAGGGGGTGTCCTTGCTCAGTTAATGTACGAAAATAGGGGGATGTGTACAAACTTAATCTGTGTACCAACTCTGAATGTTAGATACATTAAGGCTGTGCACAATCTCCGAATGTTATACACCCATGGCTCAGATACGCACAAATGATGTGTACACAGTTATCATACCAAGTCGACAGTTGCATTAAAATCATACTGTATCCCCAACAGTACTGGCATGACTATCAGCTGCAGTGGGATCCGGCTCTCTATGGAAACATTGCATCAATTAGGATACGACCAGACAAGCTCTGGACACCGGACTTTGTCCTGTTCAACAAGTAAGGATGACCATTTACATCATGGTAGCTGCTCTTCTGTAGCAGTTTTTTGTTTTTTGTTTTGTTTTTTATAAATGTTATTTTATTTATATCATATATACTTTATGTTTTTCTACTCTTAGATAGTCTACTCTCATAGGACGGCAAGATTATATTTATATTGTCTTCATAGGACACTGTTGCCGTTGAGACTGCAAGATTGTTATTGTCTTTATAGGACAATGTTGCCATTGTGATGGCAAGATTACATTGTCTTTATAGGACACTGTTCTGTTGAGATGGCAAGATTATGTTTTCTTTATAGAGCACTGATGTCATTGAGACAACGAGATTACATTGTCTTTTCCAAATAATGCCGCCAGTTTATCGTAATGACTTTTCATATCGTTAGGTGTTGTAAAAATAAATCTCCCCCTTAAATGGCTTTTCATCGAAGATTATATGATGTTTAGCAACTGCAACAGTTTTACATCATCTTAAGTAAATCTCGCCGATATTAACAGTATCACTCAATCTCAACTCCCAGTTGATTAAAACAGTGAATTTTTCAACTAAATATATTAGCACTGAAATAATTGTCATTTAAAAATGTGTTGTTCCTTGTGTTCTTTGCGTGTGTTCCTACACCCCCCACCCCACCCCCCCCCCCCTCCTTTTCTCATCGGCCTATTGAAATTATCAAAAAGATATGATACACCGTTTGTGTTACTGTACACTACGTTCTGTCGAAATAAGAACACGATGTGTGTTAATGTCAATTATTGTGGACCATTTGTTTGAATTCAGTTAAATCATATGTGAATGTGGCTTAATTTAAAAAAAATGAAGTATTAAACAAATGAAGTATTAAACCAATGATTCTAATTTAGTTCAACCTGATATTAATGTGGGTTCTTATTATACTAGTTTGTGATATTATGGTCCAATGTGGGGTGTTATGACTCTAATATGGAGTTTTATGATACCAATGTGTGGTATTGGGATACTAATGCTGGGTATTGTGATACTAATGCGGAGTATCCTACTCTTTCAGTGCTGATGGCAACTTTGAGGTGACCTATAAGTCCAACTGTGTCCTCTACTCAAGCTCTGAAGTTAACTGGATCCCCCCGGCTATCTATCACAGCTCCTGCTCCATTGACGTCAAATACTTTCCTTTTGACCAGCAGAAATGCCAAATGAAATTCGGCTCCTGGACCCACAAGGGGACATCTCTTAAATACAGCTTCGACAAAGACAGGGACAAGCTGGACCTGGTCGACTACCTCAAAAGCGGAAGTTGGGACATCATCGACTGCCCCGGTAAAATTGTCCCGTTCACGGACGAGACGACGGGAGATCAAAAAGAACAGATCATCTTTGAGTTCGTTCTGCGGAGGAAGACGCTATTCTACACAGTCAACCTCATCATCCCGTGCGTTCTGATATCATTCGTCACGTCGTGTGTCTTCGCTCTGCCAGCCCACGGGGGCCAGAAGATAACACTTTGTATTTCGGTGCTGTTCGCGCTGGTTGTGTTCCTGTTGCTGGTGTCTAAGATCCTGCCGCCGTCGCTGACCATTCCACTGATCGCAAAGTACCTGCTCTTTACATTTCTGATGAACGTGATCGCGATATTCGCCACGGTGGTCATCATCAACCGGAACTGGATCACGCCCAGCACCCAGGAAATGCCGTACTGGGTCCGGGTAGTGTTCCTACGGGAACTCCCCAAGTACCTCCTGATGGCGCGACCAGACTACCAGCGGAGATGGAGGGGCCCGACAAACCCTGAACACAACATCATACAGCGGATTCCCGACACGCAACACATCGGCGTGGCGAGCAGCGACGATGACGATGAGGTATTTGAGCTGTCGGCCGGACACAGCCCCCGTCCTCAACGGAACAGGCAAGACGATAGGCAGGGTCAGCACACGGTTGGAGGCGCCATGGGAATGTCGGAGAGATCACGTGATCAGGGTGAACTGGGCCCAGGGGTCAAGCCCTTCGAGATGACACCCGAACTGCGGAACACCCTCGAGTCAGTCAAGTTTATCTACCAACACCTCAAGCAAGAACAAGAATATGTTCTGGTAAGTTGTAAGGACATTATTTTTTATACTTCCACGTGGATTCCGATCTTACTTGTATTCAGTGATTATTTCAGAAATTTTCCCTCTCGTGGGTGGGGGGTGGCACTTCAGAGTTTTCGGGGATTGGGGCAGTTCCAGCAGTTCCAGCAGTTCCAGTTGATTTATTGTTGGACATATTTTTGCTTGGGGGGTGGGGGCCACATGGCTTTCCCCGGGGGGAGGGGGGCACACGGAGATATAGCTGAAAGAAACCCTGCTTGAATCTTTTATCATGTTTAGCCTTTCTCTGTCTGTTGCCTTTGGTTGTGTATGAACTGTTTACAATGATACAGTAGCAAGCATTATTTATTGTTCTCATAATAGTTTTCATTATTCAGTCCCCTCATACATCGTCAATCATCGCCATTCATCGTCAATCATCGCCATTCATCGTCAATCATCGACATTCATCGTCAATCATCGCCATTCATCGTCAATCATCGCCATTCATCGTCAATCATCGCCATTCATCTGCTTTGAAATTGAGCTCGAGTACCAGAATATTTAAGGACAGATTTTAATTTACCATTCCAGTTTTCATACGCTTATAAGCGAATATTTCTTTCATTGCGTCATTTACAATAGTTTTGTCTCACATCTGTAACATCAAGACTCTACGTAGATTGTTTGATATTAATCCAAAAATGTTTTTAATATAAAGCTCCTGTTACAAATGCATTCAAATTAAAAAAAGTCTTTACCCATCTAAACCCCCCATCTAAAAACCTAGCGAATATTTCTTTCATTGCGTCATTTACAATAGTTTTGTCTCACATCTGTAACATCAAGACTCTACGTAGATTGTTTGATATTAAACCAAAAATGTTTTTAATATAAAGCTCCTGTTACAAATGCATTCAAATTAAAAAAAGTCTTTACCCATCTAAACCCCCCATCTAAACCCCCCCCCCCCATCTTACGTATCCATTATCAAGTACATATCTTAAATCCCCAGTGTGTCAATATCATAACCATATTTAAATTTCCTAGTAGGACATTCCTTAATATCATGTACTCATCTAAATTCCCTATTATGACTTTCCCAATATCATGTACATATATAAACTCCCAAGTATGGCATACCCTAATATCATGGACATATCTAAATTTCCTAGTGTGGCATTCCTTAATATCATGTACATACCTAAATCCCCTAATGTGACATTCCCCAATATAATGTACATACCTAAATCCACTAGTGTGACATTCCCCGACATCATGTACATATCGAAATTGCCCATCCCTGACGTTCTCCCATTTCCCCTTTCAGATCCTTGAGGACTGGAAGTATGTTGCACGAGTTATGGACAGGCTGCTGCTCATCATATTTCTACTGGTCACACTCTCGGGCACTGCTGGGATCCTCATCAACGCTCCACACATCCTGGAGTTTGTCGACCAGGACAAAATTATCAAAGAGCTGGTCGACTATATCAAGAGTAAGCAACAAGCCTAAAAAAATTTTTAGGCACATAGAGGAAAAAAAGGTATTCCAAAATAAAAACGTGTGGTACCATTTATACACAGTGTGGTCGACCATGAAGGCCTCGGCTCCTGGTCAAAGAAGGTCATTTCAAGAGAAGACAGTCGTAGAAATATAAGGGATGTCTCGTAGGAAGATAAATAGTATAAAACATGTGCTGAAAGAAGGTGGTTGAACACAGTTCTTCTTTCTTCTCTGTGGCTGGTCTCGGGATGAGAGAGAAAGAGCTTCAAGGGTTCGCTTACAACCGTTTCATCCTGGACATATTGTATGTGTTCTTCATATGACCAAGTAAGGCCGAAATGGAAGGTTAGAATCATAAATAAACTGAATCACACTTTAAAAAATAAACTGACAATAAATTGTATGTAAAAATGATTAATAATTATGTCTTTTTCTTCAGTTTAAACAAGCATCCTTGACCTTTTCTTAATAAGAATGAGATCATAAATTGGTTCAATAGTTGAGACTCCGTTTATTTGTTTAAATTCGGTGTCTAGCGCAAATAAAAACCATTGAAATATTATTTGTGTCTTCATTTTGCAGCAATTTGTCATGCTATATATTTTAAGTCACTGTCAAGGCACTGCATTCATTATATGATGGTTTCGTACTGGTGAAACTGCTGGCAACGTGTTCATAAGATAGGAACAATATAAGATGAAGGCCATTAGTATTCTGTTATACTTAATTTTCAGACAGCTTTATTATATCAAATTTTATATTTATATTATTATCAGAACACATATGCTTTCTCAAAATAAACGTGATTTTCTGTTCAAATATTTTTTTTTAAACGAGATTTGTGACTTCATATTCGTTCATTAAAGAAATGTTCACGTTGGTCCTTATCCTTCTGTTGCCCCTACCGCTGTGGTAATGTAATGATTCTTTATATTTAAAAAGCTTTCTGGAATCTACTTTGTTTAAACACCTTCTTAGCAAAAGGCAAATCAAACACCCTGACACCACTAGTGCGCGTTTGATGAACCCTTGGTATAGTTGTGCTAGAAATGAACTGCATTGAACTATACTGGGAATGGTAGAAGATAAGCATTTAGGACTATGTGGAGAGGGGAGGGGTAATTAAGTAGTTGGGGGTGGTGAGGACAGCTAGGTAAGTAGTCCAGGAAGTGGAAAGAGTCAGCTAGGTAAGTAGTTGGGTGATGGAGTGGGTCAGCTAGGTAGGTAGTTGGGTAATGGAGTGGGTCAGCTAGGTAAGTAGTTCGGTGATGGAGTGGGTCAGCTAGGTAAGTAGTAGGGTGATGGAGTGGGTCAGCTAGGTAAGTAGTTGGGTGATGGAGTGGGTCAGCTAGGTAAGTAGTTGGGTGATGGAGTGGGTCAGCTAGATAAGTATTTCAGGGATAAATAGGGTAAGATGCGTAAGAAGTAGAGGAGTAGGAGAGAGTCAGCTAGGTAAGTAGTTGGGTGATGGAGTGGGTCAGCTAGGCAGGTAGTTGGGTGATGGAGAGGGGAAAACACGCATATAGTAAAGAAGGTGGGTAGGGCCAGGTAGGTAATTTGTCGAGATGTACTACAACTGTGATGAGGAATCAATGTTTTATGAAAAAAAAATTATTTTACCCAAAACAAACTGTTAGGAACTAAAGAATAAATATTTTGAATTCCACAAGATTTTTTTAACATACAAATTTCGCTCAAAGATTTTTGCATTAATTGAGTTATTTATAAAAATCCAAAGGTCTCATGGATTCCATTCTATCTTATTTATATTTAAAAAGTCTTGCGATCAAATGGGAAATGTAAATTAGATTTACAAGTCATCATGGTGCCAATGTATTTTTCGGGATGTTATCATTATGGAACATCTTGATGTTACGTCTGGATGCTTTAGTCGTTAATATCGGTAAATGCAACAGGCAAACCAACAACTCACAGGCAAACCAACAACTCACAGGCAAACCAACAACTCACAGGCAAACCACCAACTCACAGGCAAACCAACAACTCACAGGCAAACCACCAACTCACAGGCAAACCAACAACTCACAGGCAAACCAACAACTCACAGGCAAACCAACAACTCACAGGCAAACCAACAACTCACAGGCAAACCAACAACTCATTCTTAAGCTTTATCGGGAATAACGCTACGGTAAATTTGTGGTTCATGGGAGCAGCTCATCTGGAATAGAACAAATCATGTAACTCTGATATCCTTTATTCAGAAGAACTGTGTCTAGTGATCTGACTCATCGATCAGAACTTTCAGTTAAGATGATAGTTGGGATATCGGGTGGTTTAGGATATTGCTGTGACGTCATTTTTCTGTTTATTTCTGGTGGTCAGGCTTTTGGGGAAATTTATTTCCGGAAGTGGTCCACTTTTTTCTGGAATCTGCTTGATTTCAGTGGTAATTTATGGTTACAATACCACTTCAGCTGGTAATCTGCTTCATTTCAGTGGTAATTTATGGTTACAATACCACATCAGTTGGTAATCTGCTTCATTTCAGTGATAATTTATGGTTACAATACCACATCAGCTGGTAATCTGCTTCATTTCAGTGATAATTTATGGTTGCAATACCACATCAGTTGGTAATCTGCTTGATTTCAGTGGTAATTTATGGTTACAATACCACATCAGTTGGTAATCTGCTTCATTTCAGTGGTAATTTATGGTTGCAATACCACATCAGTTGGTAATCTGCTTCATTTCAGTGGTAATTTATGGTTGCAATACCACATCAGTTGGTAATCTGCTTCATTTCAGTGGTAATTTATGGTTGCAATACCACATCAGTTGGTAATCTGCTTCATTTCAGTGATAATTTATGGTTGCAATACCACATCAGTTGGTAATCTGCTTCATTTCAGTGGTAATTTATGGTTGCAATACCACATCAGTTGGTAATCTGCTTGATTTAAGTGGCAATTTATGGTTATATGGCAATGCCACTTAAGTTGGTGCACTTTAACTAAAGATTGTCAATCTAACATATTTACGCATAGAGAGTAGGCTTGGCTGTTTTAATTGTACCTGAAAAGTGACATTTGAAAAATGTCACAATTTTATTCCATTCTATTTCTTCATCATTTAAATATTAATGTATGTTTTTCTTACTAATTTATTGATTTATGCTCACTTCAAAGAATTATTGAACATATTAAAAATCAAAGTGCAAGATATGAGACTTTGTTTGTTTATTAATTTCAACCCTATGTGGACATCTGCCCATCTAATTCTATTGGTTATTTGTTCTGTATCTCTCCACCCGCCAATGTGATTGGCAGGCCAACATATCCTACAAGATGAACAAGGCAAAAAATGGGAGTGCTGCCAATATTCTATCTGTTTGAAATGACAACCGCATCATTTGTTACGAAGGAGACATTATTATTTGTTATGTGAGAGAAGTTATTATTTGTAATGTGGGAGAAATTATTTTTTTTTATGAGGGAGACCTTATTATTTGCTATGTGAGAAGAGTTATTATTTGTTATGTGGGAGAAGTTATTATTTGTTATGTGGGAGAAGTTAGTATTTGTTATGTGGGAGAAGTTATTATTTGTTATGTGGGAGAAGTTAGTATTTGTTATGTGGGAGACGTTAATATTTGTTTTGTGAGAGAAGTTATTATTTGTTATGTGGGAGACATTATTCTTTGTCATGTGAGAGAAGTTATTATTTGTTATGTGGGAGACATTATTATTTGTTATGTTAGAGAAGTTATTATTTGTAATGTGGTTGAAGTTATTATTTGTTATGTGGTTGAAGTTATTATTTGTTATGTGGTTAAAGTTATTATTTGTTATGTGGGAGAAGTTATTATTTGTTATGTGGTTGAAGTCATTATTTGTTATGTGGGAGAAGTTATTGTTCGTTATGTGTGACGAGAACTATATTGTTTTAAATGCTATTTGAGATGAGAAAGTACCGAAGAGATCTTTTAAAAATAACGTAACAAGACACTAGATGCAAATATCACCATTGCCACCATTGCAAAAATTGCCACCATTGCCAAAATTGCCAACATTGCTACCATTTTCCTATATGCCATCATTGCCACCATTGCCAAAATTGCTACCATTGCCAAAATTTCCAAAATTTCCAAAATTGCCAAAATTGCCACCATTACCACCATTGCCAAAATTCCCACCATTGCCACCATAGCCCCGATTGCCAACATTGCCACCATCGCCCCATATGCCACCCGTTCTTTTTCATGATCTTTGAATCAATAACTGAATGTAACACTTAATCGTTTTATTCTCATGTAACCATCTTCATCTCTCTCAAACATATTCTGTCTTCCTCACTCTTCTAAGTTTCACCCACTGTTTTCTTCGTCTTTTTCTTTTTTTTTTTTTTACTTGTTTGCATAGCGCATTCTGTTCACTATGTCCCAGTGCTTTAGCTCTTCCAAACGTGCCCCCTGATGTCTCCAACGCTCCACCCAATGCCCTATTGATCGACCTCTACTTCTCAACTATCTCACCGAAAACGATCAAGCTTTTTAATTCCCATGCATCGATATCCTCTTTTTATTCGTACCGCGAACAAATTACCCGATATTACCCCAGTACAAGATTTTAGGGTAATGTAACCATACCATCATATGTTTTATATGTGTGTGAATATGTTATGTGTGGTACATTGTTGACAGATATATCGATCCGGTCATTAAGATAATAAGCTCTAATTGGGGGCATGGCGATGTACAGTTCAGACCATTTTTATAAAATGCTTTGCATTTTGGGAACCAGAAGCATAATGATAGTGTAACGATAGTGTAATGATAGTGTATTGATAGTGCAATGATAACGTAATGATAGTGCAATGATAGTGTAATGATAGTGTAATGATAGTGTAATGAAAGTGTAATAATAATGCAATGATAGTGTAAGGATAGTGTAATAATAGCGTAATGATAGTGCAACGCTAGTGTAATGATAGTGTAATAATAGTGCAATGATAGTGTAATGATAGTGCAATGAAAGTGTAATGATAGTGTAATAATAATAAATGATAGTGTAAGGATAGTGTAATAATAGCGTAATGATAGTGCAATGATAGTGTAATGATAGTGTAATAATAGTGCAATGATAGTGTAATGAAAGTGCAATGAAAGTGTAATGATAGTGTAAGTGAATTGACAACGTAATGATAGTGCAATGACAGTTTAATGATAGTGTAAGGATAGTATAATGAGAGTGTAATGATAGTGTAATGACAGTGTAATGATAGTTTAATGATAGTGCAATAATAACCTATGTAATGAGGCTATTTATGAGTGTTGCGTGTAATGAAGACATAACTTGTGGGGTATGTTAAAAAAGATTGTAAATGTGGAGTATGCAAGTGTGGGGGCAGAAAGGGTGGGATGATGCATATGGATCTTGGAAAAAAGTTTAATAATGGAATGTGATAACTTTCTTTTTAACAAATTT